ACGGAAGCAGAGAACGAAAAACACCAAATAAAAGTCCTGAAAAGCAGCATGCTTATACCAAACTTGGCAAAATTTGACCAAAAACCGATTAATTAACAGCAGTAACAAGTCTGAATTTAAGCTAGGTCAAACGACCCTCTGAACTTGACCACACGTGTTTAGAATTAGGAATAGATAAAAAAAAAATGAAGAATTTCCATTTAAATACTTGTCTTACCTACAATCGAAGCAACAGCATCATCCCGCTGTTTCTTCTTTTGTCTATTTACTGCCCTGGACTCCTGCAGCCTTTTCGGAGCCATGACCGTGCCCGCTGCGCTGCATCCTCCGCCGGGGTGTGTGTGTGTGTGTGTGTGTGTGTGGGGGGGGGGGGGGGGGGGGGTGTTGACGGTGCGACCCGGTCCATCTCCTTTCCGTTTTGTATTGTTTTCTCTCTGTAAACATGCTGTTAACTTGCTTTGCACATCTTCTAATTGAAATCTGTCTGTATCATATACATATTATTTTTTTCATAAGCTTGAGTTTGGTGCCCCTCCCCCGGCGTGGTGCCCTACGCGCTATGCGTGGTGTGCCTGTGCGGAGCGCCGGCGCTGGATACGCTGGGCCGTCTGCTGGGTAAAACCGGGTGGAACACAGAGGTCTCCGAGAGCTCCACAAGCCAGCACCCGCACAGCAGACAAGCGCCGCGGCAATCAGAGATGCGCAGAGCTGCCGCTGGGGAGAACCGGGTGGAAAACATCGGTTTCCATCTGAGAGCTCCACAAGCCGGCAGCCCGTGCAGCAGACAAGCGCCGTGGCAATCAGAGATGCACCGAGCCGCGGGGAGGGGACCATACCAATAGTCGGAACCCAGCTCCACCAACATGTTATACTTCTACCCATTTTCTAAAATGCAGCGTTATGTTAAATGCACTGGGTTTTACCCTATTACAATTACATTTCATGGTTAAATAGTACATGTTGAAATCTAAGTTCATCTAGTGCAAGAGCGGCAGTGACCTAAAATACGAAAATATCATTTTACTTACGGAAAACTCTAACTCATGTCAGAAGAGGGGAGAGTTTTGCAGTGTAAGGGGGGCCCATGTCTGTGTTCGCCTTGAGCCCCCAAATTACTAAATCCGCCACTGTCACAGCGAAGTATAAGGACCATCCCCTCCAATGGGCAGTCTCATCTAGCTACACTGTTTTGTTGCATCGAAAGAGTGGGGGATTTGCGCCCTCTGCTGGCTAAAGCTAGAACTGCACGCTAGTTTCTAAGAACATGACAGAAAAAAATAAGATGGATCATTGCCGCTCTCCATTTGTCTGAAAGTGGGTACTACACATTTGATTTTTTTGCCGTTTAGAAGAGAATATTTTAGCCTCCTTTTCATTAATGAAGGTTTAAAATTTTAAATCGTTCTTGTCTTCTTGGGAATATTAAAATTAGAGAGGAGTAGGAGTAGAAGGAGAAGATGAAACTGGAAATATAAAGTTGTAAGAGTTACTGAATAGAAACTTTCTGTAATAGATACTTTCTCTAAAATAAAATCTATAGCATTTTGGTGTTGGTCACAGGGAAAGTTGTTCTAAGAGACATTTTCTTTTATTATCAATTATTATTTCTTGTAGCTAAAACAAAGTAAAAGTGCATTTATACACCAGTGTTAAACACACTGGTTGTGTGGTGGCAAGTCCAGCTAGCTATGCTGTTTTGTTGCGTAGAAAGAACTGGGACTACGCGCCCTCTGCTGGCTAATGCTAGAACAACACTCTAGTTTCTTAAAACATTAGAATCAAAGGGACGATGGGGAGTTGCCACCCTCCGATGTCTGAAAGACGGTACTACACTTTTGTTTTTAGCTATGTAGAAGAAAATATTTTAGCAGTTTTATCATTGATAAGCATAGGTGTCATTTTAACCGGGGACGCCGGGGACATGTCCCCGGCAAAATTTGTGATTGGCAGCTGTGTCCCTCCCACTTTCAAAAACGCCTGCTGATGAGGATTTTTGTTTTACCAGCTCAGATCTTATACCAGGGGTCGGCAACCTGTTCCCATCAAAGAGCCATTATTACCTGTTTCCCACGGTAATTTTGGACGGACCTTAATAAGCATTGACTTAAGTGAATTAGGCAGGTCGCGCTAGAAAATTTAGTTTAAAAAGATGTCATAAATGTGTTCCCCCGTCCTTTTTATTTATAAAATATGAAGTAAAAACTCACAATTTAATTTTCAATTATTTGTCATTAATATTTAGTCTACACCCGGGCGTTAAGTGGACCATCTTCCAGTAAAGGCAAAGCATCCATCCCATCTCTCCAAATGCGTAAAATGTGCATCAGCCGCTAGTTAGGCGCGCCGCGCGCACCATCAGCTGATCAGCCCAGACAAAAGCAGAGCAACTAGAGAAAGAATAGAGGATAATTGTGTCTGGATGTGGATGGAGATTACATTTTACAGCAGCCTGATCATCATTTAAATACGTAAACCATCACCTGGCTTCTAGTCCACGCTATCAGCATTATTTTAATTGGTGTGTGTGTGTGTGTGTGTGTGTGTGTATGTGTGTGTGTGTGTGTGTGTGTGTGTGTTTTCCACTTCAAATACTGGTCTAACCAACCAGACCAGCGTGTCCAGTAACATATTAATGTTACAATTAAACAGTTTCACTTCATGTAGGCTAGGAACATTTCACCTGCCGTGGCCCGACCGCTTCTGCTCCACATAAACTTTGTGCGTAATCAAATGTCTCTACGCGTCATGCGTGTCCATATTAGAGACGGGAACAAGCGCTGTTCAGCCAAAGTTTCATAATTTCATAAAAAGAAAATTTTTCCAAGTGGCATCCCTCAGAGAGACCGGGTTTCCAGACTGTTTCAGTGGGAGGAAATCTTATCGCATGCGCCGGTTCTGTACTGCGCTGCGAACCCCAGATCTTCAGCTCACTGTCCACCGTGGGCGCTCCGAGCCGCGCTGAACACAGTGTCCAGTATAAAGCTCTGATGTTCTGATGGGAATATTTTACCTCCGCGATGTGCGTTAACGATTAAAATGTCAGCTCATCCATGCGCATCAGTGTGCGTCGGGGTAATTCTTTCAAACCAAGCAACATCCTTGAGTTTATCCATCAAAATAAACAGTCAAATGAAATGAGGGCCCGGGCGCGATTCGATCCCCAGACTCCCGGGTGAGAGTCATACGCTCTAACCAGTCAGCCAAAGGGACAACCCCTTGGCCAAGTAGCCAGGGCGCATTATCTATCGGGACACTGTGACAGGACACTCACACCGCCAAACCTGATTATGCAACTTTGGCTGAATAGTGCTTGTTCCTGTCTCCAATGTGGCGACGCATCCAGGAGCCTGTCTGAGGAGAAGCCCAGAATCTCACATCCTTCAGCTCAGGAAGCGCATATGATTACGCACAAGCGTGACGCGTCAACCCGGTCTCACAGTAAGACCGGGTTGGACCTGTTCAGGTTTACGCAGACAATCTTTACATTTAGAATTGGCATACAGATGTAAAATTAATGCAGTAAAATATAAAGCTTTTTATTTAAATATCCATTCATTATTTTACAAGCACAGAGAGCCGCATCAGATGGATGGAAGAGCCGCATGCGTCTCCAGAGCCGCGGATTGCCGACCCCTGTGCTAGCCTACTTTATTGTCCCCAGCAATTTTTAAACCCCACTCAAGTGTATGGTAATGGTCCCCAGCAATTCTGAAAACAAACTGACGCCCTTGTTGATAAGGCTTTTAAAACGTTTAATATTTATTGTTGTCCTCTTGGGAATATTAAAACTAAAGGATGTTTCTGAGTTTCAGGAAAGAACCACCCTCTCCATGTTTTGAAAAAAATGCATGCTCTGTTTACAAGTAGCTGCCACCCTTGTAGCACTTCTTCTAGCAGTATCTGAAATGAATTTCTCCAAATAGCATGCAAAACTTTAGCTTACCTGTTGAGCAGAAAACCGGCGATAGAGGCATCTGTGGGGAGCCCAACCTTCACTTTCAGTGCACGCCATCATTGAAGAGTCTCCTAAAAAACTCTGGTCTTATTTCTCACTTTGGAGGCCTTTCTCTTCTTATCATAGACTTCTAAGACACTTCTTCTCTTGCGACCCTCCACCATTTTCAAAAGAACCCAGTGAGAACAGTGAGGAATGAAGGCATATCGCTCTACACATAAACAGATTGCACATGCGCAGGAAGTGAAAACTAACCCGGCAACGCGCCCGTACGACGAAGGCTTCACAAGAATGATTGACAGTTATGCGGACCAATGATTCAAAAGATCCACTCGGACTAAAAAAACACCCTCTGCTATACCTTTAATGTTCACACAAACCATACATTTATTTACATTTTTTATGAAAACAAATAAAGGAGCATTTATTGCATCACTACAGGCTAAAATTTAAGGCTGATTATACTGACACTGCTCCAGCATGTCAGATCTGTTGGATTGCCACGATGCAACGTCGTATGGGCGATCCAACACTGTTGGATCGTCGGTTGGAGTCGAGCTCTATTTTCTAAACATCCCACAGCCGCGTTGTATGCTGGACGTCTGTTATTGGTCAGCCAAACAACCCAACGTCATTTCCGGCACGATGTAGCTTTCCTTAAAAAATGTTAACAGCACGAGTATTGACAATGGACGGGCACTCCACTGACGCCTCTTCCTTCGCCGTTCTCGCTGTGCTCTTTCTAATAACAGTTGTTGTTCCTCTAGCTCAAGCAGCTCCTGTCGTCCATCTTTTTGCGAGTGCATGTGCGTCGCAAATAGTAAATGGTAGTAGGGCAGACACGTCACTACAAGAGTATGCACACCTGCATAGGAGTGCGCCCTCTGTTGTTTTGGCAGAGAATTTCTTTGCAACAGGGTCGGGCCAGTATGAATAGAGGAGATACGACGCTGCAGCAGCGGGGGTGCAAATGTGCCTTTGCTTAAGCATGAATCAGGCTTTAGAGTTACCACAAGGACTAATTTGGTGTACCACCTCAAAATCTTTTCTGCCCCCATGGCCACCCCTAGGAAACTTTTCTGGGGGCACCACTGGTTAACTTATTCTTTTTTTAGGGGGTTATGTGGTTTTAAAAAAAAAACTTTATTTCCAGTGCAATGAAAGTGATATATTAGAGAATAATAATTACAGAATCTTGTAATTAGTGCATACATATTATAAACATACTGTGATTCTTTAAATTCAGTAAGAGATCGCTTCCATCAAAAACCCATATCTTTCCGGAGTTTTCCCCCTTTCAGAAATTATGTATTTGTCAGAAATCCATAAAATCATTTCATGTACTGTGATATAATGTAAGCAATGTCTTTTTTTTTGCTAAGCCCCACAGAGCTCCATGCAATAGGAAACTGATCACCGACCAGAACTAACCAATAGCATTAGACTACCGCTTACTTGCTTCAAATTTAAGGAAGTACCTCAGCTGATGCAGAGTTGATGAACTTTTCACGGCCAAGAAAGTCTAAAATATATGAGAATACAACATGACATGAGAATAATACTCGTAAAACAACGAGTTTTAGCCCAGAAGCACATTTATAAACATTGAGTGTGATATGCTTGTCAGCCACTAGATGGTGTCATCGGATAAGAGAAATATTCCAGAAAGAAGTTTTTACTGTTCTGGGGTCTCATTTATCAAACATTGTGTAGAATCCTTACTAAAACCGTACTTAAGCGCAGCAAAAAAAAAAAAAAGTACTTACACCAAGTAGGTTTGTGATCTATCAAACAGAGTACACACAACTGCACGCAATTTCCGCTTCATAAATCGGAGACTAACGAGAATGTTTCTCAGCTGCTTTTTGGTCACATCCCGTCCTCACCACGCCCACTTACTGCCATAAATAGTCAATGCAAAGTGCCTTGTGGATCTCATGCATATACATAAGCCGGCTGTTGCAGCGCTCCGCCAGTGACATGGCGACCGCAGATCATGGCAGATCAAGGAAGCACAATTTCACAGAAGCAGAAATTGAGGTACCTGTGGGTGAGGTGGAGAAATGAAAGGAAGTGCTTTTGCAAAACAAATAAAAGAAAATCCACACAGTGACACAGCGTTGCTGAAGCCGTCAATGCTGTGAATTCTTCAGAGAGATCTGTGGCGGATATAAAAAAAAATGGTCCAATCGGAATTTGATCCCGAGACTCCTAGGTGAAAGTTACAAGTGCTAACCAGCCACCCAAACGGAGATCTCCCCTGTACAAGTAGCCAGGGTGCATGATCAATCGGGTCACAGCGACAGGACACACTGTCACAGACGCATGATTCTGTCTCAATCTGTCCCCCTACTGATATTCTGCATTCTGTATTTTGCGCGTGTGTGTGTGCGTGTGGGGGGGGGGGTCTTGTTCTGTGTGAAAACGAAGAGTACAAGTGATAATGCTGCAGGACTTCATAATTGTATCCTTCTCAGCAGCAGCACTGCAGGTGCTCTCCATGTCCAAAATGTGCGTAAGACAGGTCCTTAGTCAACTTAAAGTTGCGCACATTTTTCCACTAAGCTTTCTTTCATAAATCCCAAAGTTTGCGTGGAAAGTTGCTTACGCAGTTTTCCGACCCCGTTTTGTGCGTAAGCAAGCTTGATAAATGAGGCTCCTGAACATGAAAAAAATACAACTTCTTTTATGGTTGACTGACTAATGTCTCACATTTGTGTGATTCTTCATTATGATGTTATTTATTAAACATTTGCCTGCTGGTTTCAGGTAAGATTATTAGAGTCTGAATGTATCAACAGTTTGGAGTGTAATCCTTTTGTTCAGAGCTTTGGTGGGTTTAGGGCTACTTGAAGGTAATCTGGTGAAATGCTGGGGGGAATGTTTCATAACTAGGTTTAAAAAAAATATATATATAAGGTTTGAATGTAATCTGCTCTATACAAAGAATAAAATCTATTTAATCTTCTATTAATAAATGAAGCAGAAATACGATCAGTAACATATAAAACAGCGTGTATGCGTCGTGCTGCTGATCAGACACCCGTCAGACGTACGGAAAAAAAGGTACGTTTTCCAGTGTTCACTTACAATTTTAAAGGTGATAAAACTTGATGACAATAAAAAAATAAAGTTTTTTCAATTAATACAAATCCCTGATTAAATATAATCTGTACTCATCTAGTTACATGTTTCTGTGTAAACACAAACATGTAAAACTGTGATGCTACATGAGTCCTGTTTCTGCCTAAGCCATCATACATTATAGAAACACTGCAGGTAGATTTAATACTTAAGAGCTTAAAAACTAGTCTAAATCCACAATACTGTGCATTTCTTCAATATTTTCCTTCCAAAAATCAGAAACGTATTGATTGTTTTTAGTAATTATGATCAATAGTTCAGGCTGCCTGAATGTTTTAACTTTGCTGATTTGACTCATTTTTAGATTTTTAAAAACAATTATAAAGCTAATTAATGAAGTCTTTCACAAAACAGTTTGTTCCTACTTTGTTTAGTTGAATAAACTATAAATACAATAATGCAAGCTGACATTTAGAAAAGTCATATTTTAACACCAACAAACAGATGTCAGCTCTAAACCTGATGCAGGGATTTTGGGTTCTTCAGAATAAAGAAATTAGTGGGACACACCCGGTGGGGTATATTTTGGATTCCCATAAGGAATAGAAGATCATATGCCTCAGCCAGCTGTCCATTGAGGATGTCGAAGACGTGTGGATATTCGGTCTGATGATCACTAATTTCTCCTGATTGGAGTGGGAGGATATCTGGTTTTCTGGAAATTTGGGAAGACGGGAGCAATTGGAGGGCGACCCGCACCCACGGAAAGCACCGTCCGTGTGAAGACTTCTCAGACTGGGACGTTACTCGAGGTGAATCATATGCTGGGCATTGTTCTAGCTGCGAAACCGGTATAAGTGCGCAAACCGGATGTCATCTCAGAGAGAGTCACCGGACGGTATGGACAGGTTTAAAAACCCAGAATTGGCTTCACTGAAGGACTGGAAATGATCAGTTTAAAGACTGAAGGCAGAGAGGAAAATTATCACAGCCTGACCCAAACAAAGTCTTGTTATCTAAATCTGACGCCCTGGTAGCCTTGAGCGGTGAGCAAATAAAACCCCCACGAAGGAATGCAGACAGATGCTGTGAAAACCCAACCAACAGCAGATGAGCGCCGTAGATGGCTGCTCTCGCTGGGGGAAACAGGGTCCCAGAACCCCCCCCCGGCCTTCTTATTGGAGTCTCATGTTATGTTGTGTTGTCTGAAGTCTGTTGCATATATGTTTGAGGTGTTTTTTGCAGAGCAAAGCTGCCCTCCCGGTGGAGGGTAACTCTTAAGTGCCTTTTTTCCCTCCACCTTAACCAATCCTCATGTAACCCTCTTATCTCTATTAAGGTAGCGCGACTCAGGGTTGCGAATGACCACAGTCACCAATTCTTGTTATGTGTCTTTCCCATGTATGTCTGATCTCTGAATTGTGTGTACTGAAACTCTAATTTCCCTCTGGGATTAATAAAGTATTGATTGATTGGTTCAAAACTTTTCACAATACAACATTTTCTATCTGCATTAATAATCTGATTTTTTATATAAAATATTTGTTTTAATTTCTATACTAAATAGCACCTAGAAAGTAACCTGTTATAAAGAGTGAATGAAAACATCACAGCATCTTGTTTCCTAAACAAGCGACCCCAGAGCTTCTGCCCTCGTGGACACAAATGAGACGGACTCCTGGGCTCCGGACTGACACTCATTCAGCAGAACCACAGCAATCGCTGGTGGGATGCAGGTTCTCACTGAGGTCCTCTTTGGTCTTTTGGATGCAAGTGAAGATCTCCTTGAAGAGCAGCTTGTACTCGGGCTGATGGCCATCTTCAGGAGCGCCCACTAGCCCGGAAAAAGCAGCCGAGCTGGACAGGCGGCGGCGCACCCAGGGGCTGCCGGGCAGACCGCCAGAGGTCTGGATGGATTTATGACTGAGGTCATCTGAGGTCAGCTGGCATCGCTGCAGCAGCTCATCATATTTCACCTAAATAACACAGTAACAGGAGTTAAACCACACTACTGGGTCAGCCTTTGGGGAAATGTTTATAATGCAGTCCAGGGTGTCGCGAATACACCACCTGCAGCGCGCTGTACTGAGCATCCACCTCGTTGAGCAGAGAGACTCCTCTCTGTTTCACAGCCTCTGCTCGTCTGATGCACAGCCGCTCGTGGACTCGGCGAATCTCGTCGGTGTTGGTTGCTTTTAAGATGCCATCGCTGTTACACCTCTGTCGGCCGTGTGTGCTCTGCTCTTCAGCCTTTTCAGACGTCTCCTCCGCCTCCTTCTGCCTTTCCTCTGAGGCAAAAAATACCATTTCAGGCAGCAGCAGCTGTTCAGCTCTTCCAACGCTGGTGAGAGTAAAAAGAGACATATTTACCACGACTATCCATTAAACATTCTACTCCTGAGTGGCAGACGAATCAGTTCCAACCTGCTGGCACACTCTGAACGCCTCAGAACCCTCAGCTGCTCCACTTCCTCCTCCAGCTCCATCTGCCTGGCCCGGCACCCCACCAGCAGATCTAGACGTTCCTCCAGAGTCCTGTTCTCCTGAGACGTGAACTCATTCTCCCGCTCCACAGCCTCCCGGCGACTTCGCTCCGCAGCTATCTGCTTCTTAAGAGTTTGGATGGAGTGCTGAAGAGCCTGGCTTTCCTCCTCCAGGTCTAGAGGTCTGTCTCTTCCACAGAAGAAGCTCTGTGTTGACCAAAGTCCATCGCTTTGAGTGGGATACCTGAACCTGAACCAACAGGGCATTTGGGTCATTTATGAAGCCTGGCAGGGAGGCAGATAATATTAAAGTACAAAAAAAACCATTTAATTAAGAGATTAATTCAGGGGTTTTCAATCCTGGTCGTGGAGGGCCGGTATCCAGCTCGTTTTGGTGGTTTCTCTGCTCCAACACACTTGATTCAGTGGTTGAATGACCTGTGCAGCAGCTCATCAGGCTCTGCAGAAGCCTGTTAATCACCTGCTGATTGAAATCAGTGTTGAAGCAGCGTTAAAACCAAAACATGCTGGATATTCAATACCCCTGGATTAGAATGTAGAATTTCAATGTATTTTAAATATTTTTTTAAACCTTTTAATTTTTGTATTCATGATTTTTTTTTATTAACATTTTAAACACCTGCAAATTTTCCCAAACAAGCAGCAGTTGTGTGTGTCGGTGTGTTTGCACAATAAGGAAGGGTTAACTTCCTTGTTCTGTGGATTATGACCCAACTGAAGGGTCTGCTCTGAGTGACCTGCACCGAACAAGCTCAGACCCGAGTGTGACCTGCAGCTCGCTTTTCTAAAATCCTTAAATCTGAAAGCAGAATCAAGTGAGCCAAAGTTTTCATTCAACTGTTAATGAACAAAAGCCAGAAGATGTGTGAAGCAGATGATTTTTAATAACACTGTTAACCCTGCAGTGTGTGTGTGTGTGTGTTCTACCTGTCCTGCTGCAGGTCGTACAGCTCTTTGAGACAGGACACACTCTGAGCTCCGAGGCAGCGTCGCTGCTCAGCCAGCTCCCTCTTGTTTCTCTCTGCCTGCGCCGTCTTCAGCTCCTCCACCTGGGTCTGCAGCTCCTCCATCAGGGTCTGAAGCCCCTCGATTGTCTCTGTCAAACTGAACGGAACACGTTCTTGAACACGTGGGCCTCATTGCCACGTGAAAGTGAATATTTAGGTGAAATGAGTGATGCTAACCAGATGACTCACCTGTGGATCTTGTGCTGAGCCAGGCGGTTGTCGTGCACTAGCCTCTGGTTGCTTTGCTCCACGTCCCTGGCGGCCATGTCCAGCTGCTCGTACACTTTGGAGTGTTGGTCGTTCATCTGACGCAGCAGCTCCACCTGTTTAGTCAGGTACTGTAGCAAGACAGAGGCGAGTTTTGTCATTTGTATCGATGCTTATAGACCAAAAAAAGAAATTGCTCTTCTGTATGCTTTAAAAGATTTGATTCCTTCTCTCACATCGACTCATAGTCCTGTAAGTAAACACATCTAGAACAAGGAGCCATAGTTGTAGCTTGATGATTCAGCTGAGCACCTAAAACTCCACTAAGACATACTTTCAGTGACTTTTTCTTGCAGAGACATCCCTCCTCCTGAATCCTTTTTAATCTAGCCAAACAGAAGCACATGCTCACACTCACGTGTACAAGCAGCTTTCATTTTGCACGTTCGGCGCCAGACACCGCATTAACGTGAGGGTCACTGAGACGTTTTGGGATTAACACATCAACCTGAAGAAATCCTCGAGCCTCAGCTTTCTCACGTCTGTAAACAAATTAAGAGTCTTATCGTCGTTGACCCACTGAGCGACGCGGCCTCCAGCCGCGTGTCTAAATGTCCCGCCGCTAAAATGTAACTGTGTTCGTTCAGAAGCTTAACCCGCAAACTGCTTTAGCAGAACTCAATACCTGGCAAAGAACACTGGTTTGAGAATAGAAGATTAACATTTAACAAACCGCTCATACCGAACAAAACCCCAGAGTTTTGTCCAGAGGTTGAACCAGAGAGAAACTAGTGAGAGTTTTTAGATAATTAGGTTGACTAAGATTCTGCCAAGTGGCTCATTAGGTCAGACCAGGATCAGACTGCTTTGTGAACGTGGACTTCTCTGCCTGAATCATCTAATCCTGGATTATTTTAATTAAATCTATTAAGACATGCATAGACAGACAGGAATTATGGCTGTGATTGTTTGGACACACAAACACGGGTTTAGTGGCGCTGGAGGCTCATTTCCACCTCGATCTCCTGCAGCTGCTCCTCGTTGGTGGAGTACATCTGCTGCAGGGCCTGCTCCAGGTCCTGGTTTCTCTCCAGGAGGCTTTTACCCAGCTCGGCTGCCAAATGCAGATCTAAACAAAACAGAGTACAATGTTAAGACACGGTTTTTAACATCGTCACAATGAAATAGTGGAAGCTAAATCAAGCAGGTTCGTGTTAGAAATGGATGTAGAAACACCAAACGGCCTCGTCAAGAGCAGCTTTTCCCACTAATCCAGACTAAAGCCAGCCCCCGGTGGGGCTACAGGAAGAAGGAATGCCACTAAATCAGTGGTTTTGGCCTCAAATAAAACTGTTAATTTATGTTGTTTGTAAAGTAGGTGGATAGGATGCATCTGCACAAACGGACACTTTTTATTCCACTTGAATAAACTCAGATGACCTTTATTACTCAGAAAAACGGAGAATGGTCAATCCTGAAAATGATTCCAAGTTTGACTCACAACTCCAGCAGGAATATAGCTGTTTATCTGTTTAAAAAAGAACAGATTAAAGTTTCAAATAACAATTATGTTCTTAAGTAGTTAACATGTTAAATAAATTAGAGATTGACTTATTATGAATTATGTACTCATTATAAAACAACGCTAAAATAAGGATCATGTGCTCAGTTTGCTTCTTATTCAGTTATTTTTATAAAAAGTTATTAAATTTAAAATTAAATGAAAAAATAGGAGGAATCTAATTGTTTTTTGTACAAATCAAACAAAATAGTTTTGCACATTGTAGCATTACATACGGTTTAAAACGTGACCACACTGTAAATTAAACAAATTATTTCTTTAATTTGTTATATTTACATTTCTGTCATTTAACTTTTAAACCATTTCAATTGATTCAATGATTTATTTGGTTACTCCAGCTTTATATCATTAATTCTTTAGCAGCATAACAATAAACACAGGAGCTGGGAGAGCTTCAGGAAACCCTGACCAGTGAAGTTTCTTCCAGATTTTACCACGATCGCAGCGATCACGATCCACAAGATTAACATAAACTTTGTTTTCATTTTCCCTGTGTAAACATGTGATCTTCAGTGGGCCTTTCTACTACGTATGAACAGCAAAGAAAATGTTAAATCAAAAGAGGTAGTAGTGGTGTCTTTGCTCCACTGATGGAGTAAGAGCCCGTCTGGGTGCGTCCTCTTACCGTCTTCGAGGTCCTGCTGGTTGTACCAGCCGGGTTCCCCGTTCTTCTCAAACTCTTCCTCCAAAATCATGTCGGTCAACATGTTCAGCCTGTGGGGCTCGACAAGTCTTCACCTGGCAGAAAGTCCTGGAGAGGCTGCCTGGACTCGTCCCGCTGTCCTCCGTCGGCTGCAGACAAAAGTAAACTACATCCTGTCGGGGTGTGTGACAGGCTTTAACCATCGGCTTTAACTCGGTCGTCCACAGAAACGTGGCAAATCCTCAAACTACCCCCAGTAACCGGTAGGGGGCAGAATAACCAAACGACAGCTAAATGTTGTTTTTTTTTTTTTTACCCATGAATAAATGTCTCTGGATTTGTTATTTTTTATTATTATCAGTCTTAATTATTAACCACTTAAAATCAGCAATAGCAAATAATTATTATTCAAATTCAATAAAAATTCGTAGCTTCCTCCCATCTTTGACTGGCGTATTTTATGTCCAATCATAGAGCAGCAAGTGGACGCGTTGCATACTGCTATCCAATCAAATATTTGTTTATTACCTTAAAACCCCGCCCCCACGCTGCAGCGCAAGAATCTAGTCAGGTAGGACCTTAGTGCAGTTGTCTTTTTCCGTGATTTCCTACGACCTCGGTAAGTTTTTTACTAAGTGAATACTGATGCTGATAGTGACTGATAAAATAAACACACGAGTACGTAGACTAAAACCGTTTAACATATACACGCGTTTTTTTTGGAAACTTGTCTAGTGCCATAGTAACATTTACTGAGTTTAATTGCATGTAATGTAACATCTACAATGACAGACGACAGCAGCGTTTGTGTTGCATTTAGTTGATTAGGACGTAGCTTTAAGGTTGCACTGTGATTAGGAAGTAGCTTTAAGGTTGCACTGTGGTGTGTGTGTGTGTGTTTGTGTGTGTTCGTACCCCGGAAGAAGCGTGAACATGATCGCCCGACACCTGACGTCCTTTGGGATCAACCATGCAGCCCTGGCTTTTGCCATGACCACGCTGGGTTCAAGCATGATCAACAATATATTCAGCTTCTATTATGTGAAGCTCTTTCTGAATAAGTACAAGATATCTGAAGGAGCATTCCACCAATCACAGGTGAGTACTGTCCATCTATTTTGAGAAAAAATTCAATATGAAATATTTAAAAGCTGTCTTTTTCTGTAAAGAAGCTATTTTCTTAAAAGTGGATGCACTTTACTGATCAGATATAATATATGACTGTCAGTCTTGAGTCTACATTTTTTTGTTTGTTTCCAAGCTGCAGGCTTTCTTGAAATCTCATTAAATGTCCTCAATCAGTAATTCTCAAGGCTTAATGAAGGTTATTTAGTTTTTCTATGAATCTTGACTCCTTTTTTCACCAATTTTTTGTCACTATCCATTTTCAGAAGAATGCTTTATTTATAAACCACTTAAAGGCCCAGTGTGTGATATTTTTACCAGTTTACTATCAAATCCTGTTTCCATTTCACAAACTTGTCCTTTTTCAATAATATTTCTCACCAACATCAATTCTAAATATTCCTCCAACTTGAAATTATACATTTTATATACATAACTGTGGTCGAGGCTCCATGGTCATCAACCATCTTAAAATACAGTAGCTGTTTAGGGACATACGAGCTCCACCCATTTGGACTATGACTGTAACCTGAAAGAACCAGCAGAGGGCAGCAGTGTGCCCTGGAAGCATGAAGTCTGCTAATTCAACAAAAAAATAGAAATGAATAGCTACACCTTGCTGGGACTTCCGGTGTCGGTACAAGATCTGCTCGGGTGCAAAATCGGCTCAGGGTCCTTCGACTGCCGATGACGTCAAAGCATAGGCGTCATTTTAACCGGGGACGCCGGGGACATGTCCCCGGCAAAAATTGTGATTGGCAGCTGTGTCCCCCCCACTTTAAAAAAGCCTGCTGATGAGGATTTTTGTTTTACCAGCTCAGATCTTATACCAGGGGTCGGCAACCTGTTCCCATCAAAGAGCCATTATTACCCGTTTCCCACAGTAAAGAAAACACCGCAGCAGCCGCGGCGTTGTGGGCGGGGCCTACCCTCAGACAGCAGAGAGCTGCTCACAACCAGGTGACAGCAACAGGTACCGGTCGCTCGCATGGGCGTCGCACCCGTGGGGGATTCAACACCCACACCTTTCCAGCTGTTTTGCTCACCTCCACGCCAGTCTGGTTTCTTTATGTCACACTCTCTCTGTTTGCCTCATCTCCTTCTTCACCTCCGCTTCTGACAGCCAATGTCGGGTTTCCAGGAGAGCAGGAGAGGGAGGGACGGAAGAGCTCGACTGAATTCATAATTTTACATCTTGACATTAGCTGTACAAAGTCTGAGTTTGATAACGTGAAGAACAACAATTAGCAGAGGTTTATAACAGGCGCGGCGCCAGGTTTTCACCTTTGGGTGGGCCACGGTAATTCTGGACGGACCTTAATAAGCAGTGACTTAGTGAAGCAGGCAGGACGCGCTAGAAAATTTCGTTTAAAAAGACGTCATAAATGTGTTCCCCCGTCATTTTTATTTCTAAAATATGAAGTAAAAACTCCCAATTTAATTTTCATTCATTTGTCATTAATATGTAGTCTACACCCGTGCGTTAAGTGGACCATCTTCCAGTGAAAGCAAAGCATCCAGCCCATCTCTCCAAATGCGTAAAATGTGCACCACAGCCGTTAGGCGCGCGCGCACCATCAGCTACATCAGCCCAGAGAAGAGCAGAGCAAATAGAATAGAGGATCATTCTGTCTGGATGTGGATGGAGATTACATTTTACAGCAGCCTGATCATCATTTAAATAAAACCATCACCTGTCTTCTAGTCCACGCTATCAGCATTATTTTAATTGGTGTGTGTGTGTGTGTGTGTGTGTGTGTGTGTGTGTGTGTGTGTGTGTGTGTGTGTGTGTGTGTGTGTGTGTGTGTGTGTGTTTTCCACTTCAAACACTGGTCTAACCAACCAGACCAGCATGTCCAGTAACATATTAATGTTACAATTAAACAGTTTCACTTCATGTAGGCTAGGAACGTTTCACCTGCCGTGGCCCGACCGCTTCTGCTCCACATAAACTTTGTGCATAATCAAATGTCTCTACAGGAGCTCTCTGAGCTGAAGAGGCTGTTCTGCCTCAGACTGGATGCGTCATGCGTCTCCATATTAGAGACGGGAACAAGCGCTGTTCAGCCAAAGTTTAATAATTTCATAAAAAGAACATTTTTCCAAGCTCATCATGCGCATCAGTGTGCGTCGGGGTAATTCTTTCAAAACAGCCAGCATCCTTGAGTTTATCCATCAAAATACAGTCAAATGGAAATATCTGTAAGCTGCCATTTAACTGTTTTGCCTTCTTGTGAAGATTGTTGCAAAGAGAAACAACTAAACTTGATTAACCCCAGAGCCACGCGCAATGCGCTGTACCGACTGTAAAATGAGGGGAAACGATTTAATCGGATCCTTTTCTTTTCAACATGGTTTAATGTAGTTTCATTCAGTACAAACTTTAGTTACACCAATCTAACGAGACAGAGCCTGGATTTGTATTCTGAACAGTTTAATCATGTTTAAAACGGAGACATGCGTGACGCGTCTAAAATTCGCACCTGCTCCGCTGTTATGGAAATTAAACTAACAAGGTGAATAACATCAAATTATTTTAGGCACAGACAACATCTCCCACACTTTTGAAAATCTTGCAACGCGCCTGGTCGCTCGTGTACGTCAAAGTTATCTTTCATAAGAAGATAATCATAAAACGATTTATATAAAGATGATCCAGAAGTTGTAGCCCGTCTCTGCCTATACAATATTTTGATATTTTTCACCCTGTTGGTGGTTTTACTGAGCAGGTGCCACTTTTGTCATACGTTTCTTTTAAAAACATGCTTAGACTGTTCAGAATACAAATCCAGGCTCTCAGAACCAGAGCGCATGCGGGAAGGTTCCTCCCACTGAAGCGAGAGTTTTCCAAACCCGGTCTCTCAGAGAGACTTGCCACTTAGAAAATGTTCCCTGATTATGAAACTTTGGCTGAATAGTGCTTGTTCCTGTCTCCAATGTGGCGACGCATCCAGGAACCTGTCTGAGGAGAATCCCAGAATCTGACATCCTCCAGCTCAGGAAGCGCATATGATTACACACAAGCGTGACGCGTCAACCCGGTCTCACAGTAAGACCGGGTTGACCTGTTCAGGTTTACGCAGACAATCTTTACACTTGGAATTAGCATACAGATGTAAAATTAATGCAGTAAAATATAAAGCTTTTTATTTAAATATTCATTCATTATTTTATAAGCACAGAGAGCCGCATCAGATGGATGGAAGAGCCGCATGCGGCTACAGAGCCGCCGACCCCTGTGCTAGCCTACTTTATTATCCCCAGCAATTTTTAAACCCCACTCAAGTGTATGGTTATTGTCCCCAGCAATTCTGAAAACAAACTGACGCCCTTGCGTCAAAGTACCGCAAACCCACTCGGACAAAATACACTACACATCTATACTGTTGGAAAGAATTTAGCTGTTTCGTTATTAAAATAATGTTTCTTAAGACGTGTTTGTGTTTATAATGGTATTTGTAAAATAAAACACTATATTTTATTCATAATGTTGAACTCCTCTTTGAGCACATCCCTTGAAGGATCATAGGTATTAGCAACACCTGTGAAATTGTATTTGCAGGAAAGAAGAGTGTCCCGTTTATTGAAGTATTTTGTGTTTAGAGTTTTTGACGTCTTGTCCATGCGTAGTTCAGTTACGCTCATAGCTGCTAGCCAAAACTCTGGAGTTAAAAGTTTTCTGGCTTTACTAAAATACCTGTCTGTACTTATTTGATTGATGGTAGTTTTACTTTCTATTAGACTCCAAATGTAATTATTTGGCACGTTTCTAATTCATAATTTGTAATAATGTAATCAGTGATATTAGCATTAGCATTCCTATGGGTTTTTCCATGTATATTAGCATTGCGCTAACCACTCGCTGCCAAATTGCAGCCTTTGCGATTAGAAAATCTCCTTTTGTCACATCGCAATTTAATTGCACATGCAGTTAATCGTTCAGCCCTAATATACATGCAGCTCTATGCTAAAAGTGTATTTTCAAAGAGGTAATGATGGATTTCTTTGTAAAAGTTGTCCATCTTTCCAACAAAGATTTGCCTGGACCAACGTAACGTGATAACAACGTAACGTGATTACGTAATTCCGTAAGGCTCATGTTCAGCCAATCAACTACTTAGACGTCGACAGACCCCGAGCCGATTTTGCACCCGAGCAGATCTTGTACAGACACCTGTAAGATGGCGGAGGAGTCGGTAGTGCGGTAAGCATTTTAAGGAGCAAACCCCCGAATAAAACCGTTGGAAGACAGTTTTGAATGATAAGTCCTCTCTACTAATCGGCAAAATAAAGGCCGCATCCTGAACAAACAAGATAATCATCTTTTTAACTTTAGGTAACCTCTCGTGGTACACATGGCTAAGGCTAACACTAAAGCTAATATCAAGGCTAAACCTTTTTTTCCTCATAACTACTGTGCCTCAGAAGACATGGAAACTGTCCACAAAGGCACCAAAAACATTTTATCGCCATCAAAACCTCCCCAGCCACCAAAGAAGGTTAAACCTCCAGAATGTGAGTCTCCTTCTCCAGAATCCAGCTCGCAGCTAGTTACTAATGCCGCTATCCTCCATGAAATTAAAGCTCTTCAAACAACGATGACCGACTTCAAAACAGAGCCACAGCAAAACAGATCAGCCATCGCCAATATAATTAAAGCGGTGGGATTTAATGCAGATGAGATTAAAGAATGTAAAGAAAAATGCTCACAGTTGGAGAAAGAGACCAAGGAGCTGATGAAACACCCAAATGATGAGCAGAACCATGGAGCTGGAACAGAAAACGGCTGAGTTGGAGAGATACAGAAGGAGATGGAACTTATGTTTGACTGGTTTTAAAGAGGAAAATAATGAAAACATCTGAGAGCTGACGGTCGACCTGTTGCTGAAGATTATTCCACACCGGAGGGACAAGACTGACTTCATTCTGGACTCTGTGCATCGCCTCGGGAAAAGTTCCAACCTCCCTCGGCA